CCTAGGCCTCCAGACCTGTGATAGGAGGGGCTGCCATGAAGACCTCTGACATGCCCTGGAGACATTTTCCCCATTGTCTTGTGGATTAACTTTCAGCTCCTCATTATGTAAATTTCTGAAGCCAGCTTCACTTTCTCCTCAGAAAATGGGATTTTCTTTTCTAATGCATTGTCAGGCTGCAAATTTTCCAAACTTTTGTGCACTGCTTCCCTTATAAAACTGAATGCCTTTAACAGTGCCCAAGTCACCTCTTGAATGCTTTGCTGCTTAGAAATTTCTTCCACAGACACCCTGAATCATCTCTCTCCATTTCAAAGTTCCACAAATCTCTAGGACAGGGGCAAAATGCTGCCAGTTTCTTTGCTAAAACATAAGAGTCACTTTTGCTGCAGTTCCCAACAAGTTCCACATCTCCATCAGAGACCACCTCAGCCTGAATTTCATTCTCCATATCATTATCAGCATTTTGGTCAAAGCCATTCAACAAGTCTGTAGGAGGTTCCAAACTTTCCCACATTTTCCTATCTTCTTCCAAGCCCTCCAAACTGTTCCAATCTCTGTGTGTTACCCAGTTCCAAAGTCACTTCCACATTTTCAGGTTTCTTTTTGGCAATGGCCGCACTCTACAGGTACCAGTTTACCGTATTAGTTCGTTTTCACACTGCTGATAAAGACATACCTGAGACTGGGCAATTTACAAAAGAAAGAGGTTTAATGGACTTATAGTCCCACATGGCTGGGGAGGCCTCACAATCATGGCTAAAGGCAAGGAGGAGCAAGTCACATCTTACATGGATGGCAGCAGGCAAAGAGAGAGCTTGTGCAGGGAAACTCCCCTTATAATATCATCAGATCTCATGAGACTTTTTTCACTATCATGAGAACAGCATGGAAAGACCTGCCCCCATAATCCTATTACCTCCCACCAGGTCCCTTCCACAACACATGGAAGTTCAAGATGAGATTTGGGTAGGGACACAGCCAAACCATATCACAGGTAATTACAGAGTCAGAAACACAATTGGCCAACCAACATATGACAGGATTTTCAACATTACTAGTATTCAAAAAAATACAAAATAAAGTAGCAGTATGATGTTTATTTTCACAAAGCATATTATCAGATAGTTAAAAAGTAATAGGGTTATTGAAGGTATTTCTGAGATCAAGCCTTTTCATTGAGTTTAATGTTGATGTGCATGTAAATTGGTACAGCATTTGTGGTAGGCAGTTGGACCCCTTATCAACATTAAAATGCATGTGTACACTTTGAGGTAGTGGGGAGCTGGGGAAGAGTGGCAGGGGCTAGGGGAATGGACACAATGGGAGGTACTAAAGGACTGGAATGTAAAGGTGGGGGATGTGTGGGGCCAGGAGAGATTTGGAAGAACTAGGATTGATTGGGGGAGGGGGAGAGGAGATAAAAGGCATTTAGAGGGACTGATGGAAATAAAAACAAATGAGAGGGATTGGAAATAACTGAAGAAACTTAGAGGGACAGGAAGAGAAGGGGTGGGACTGGCAGGGACTACACATGTAAAATGGAAACAACTGGCATTCAGCAAATTGACCTACAGCCACTGGCAAATAGGACCTGTTCACATTGACCAGGGCCCCCCGGGAGAATGAGGTTTGTTAGCAAACAGGAAACACTGATTTTCAGAGTGGTACTAACTGTGCTTTGCAGAGTTCTTTTTACTTTGTGTCATCTTGACTCTATTATTACATTGTATTTTGCTTCTACAGAGCAGCCTGACCTCTTTGAAGACTCGTTAGTCCAAAGCCTCTGGTGGCCGATGGTCTGCATCTTTCCCATGTGCTCCTGAGGTACAAAATGGACATTTCAGCTGCTTTTAATAGAAACTCACTATGTCACTCGTAAAACTCAGGAAGCTGTCCCAAATCCTGGGAGGACATGAAAAGAGGCTCACTCTGCAGTCGAGTGCAGGTATGCCTATGGTATGCAGGTCCCAAGACTCTCCACTTCTCTCTTAGTTTGAAGTGGGCATTCTTTTAAGAAGTAGAGGACCCTGTGGTCACTGGCTTCCTTAGTGGTTCATGCAGTTGTCCACACAGTGAATCACAGGGCAATCAGAGAGCAGGAATCTGCAAAGGGGGGATGTCATGTGTTGAATTGTATCTCCTTAACATTTATAGATTGAAGCCCTAGTCTCCAATATCTCAGGATTTGACAGTATTTGGAGGTGGGGCTTTTAAAGAGGTGATTAAGTTAAAATGAAGCCATTAGAGTGGTCCTTAATCCAGTATGACTGGTCTCCTTGTAAGGAGAAACTTGTACACAGAAGAGACACGCTAGGGATGTGGAGGCACAGAGAAAAGCCCATGTGAAGAGGCAGCAAAAGAGTGGCCATGTGCAAGCCAAGAAGAGAGGCCTCAGAGGAAGCCCGCCCTGCCAACACTTTGATCTTGAACTTCCGGCTTCCAGACTGTGAGAAAATAAGTTTTTCTTGTTTAAGCCACCCAGTCTATGGTGTTTTGTTATGACAGCCCTAGCAGAGGCTTGAAAGCCTGAAGGCTTAGGGTCCTGGGAAAATAGAAGTTAATTCAAGTCCTCCAGTTAACTGTTATTAGGAACTGTTTGAAAATACCTTCTTTAAGTATAGAAGAGGCCCGTGCTACACTCCCATACACATTTTTACTTTTTCTTTAGGAAGCGTGGAGCTTGCTGTTACACTGCCCTAAAAGTTCCTGGGTTGAGCCAGTTGCCAATAGTAAGTTGGTAAAGAAAAATAGGAATGTCTGGCCAATTAGGCTGGGTCTTTCAGTTATCATATCTTCTACCCCTGCTAAAGGATTAGTCTTGGGCTTTGTAGATTCAAAACAAAATTCAGTTCAGGCCTAAGTAAGTAATTTACACACTAGTTCTAAGTAATTAATTGGAATTCACTGATTAACAGTGAGAACCGTATTTTTTCAGGAATACTGAACTATTCATGGTAGACTAGTCCTAAAAAATCTTTTCCCATTAGGAAGAGCTAAGTGAAGACCAAAAAAAAATGTACCTTGGAAATATCCTTGTGACCCTTGTCCAACTGAAAGGTCACTTCCTTAGCAATGCTTTCTCTCACTTTCCTGGGGAGCATTAGATTGCCTCTGCTCTGAGATCCCAAGGAACCTTCTGTCAGAAACCTCAACCCACAGTATTTTAATTAGTCGAGTATAAGCCTGTATTTCCCATTAGACTGTGAGCTCCAAGAGGAAAGGGATTGTGTCTTATCTATCAAGTTATATTAATAGTATCTAGATTTAAAAAGGAGGCTGGGAACGGTGGCTCACGCCTGTAATCCCAGCACTTTGGGAGGCCGAGATGGGCAGATCACTTGAGGTCAGGAGTTCAAGACCAACCTGGCCAACGTGGGGAAACCCCATCTCTGCTAAACTATAAAAAGTAGCTAGGCATGGTGTTGCATGTCCCAGCTACTCAAGAGGCTGAGGCGGGAGAATCACTTAAACCTGAGAGGCAGAGGTTACAGTGAGCCAGCATGGCGCCACTGCACTCCATCCTGGGCAACAGAGTGAGACTCCGTCTCAAAAAAATAAAATAGTAAAATAAAATCAATAAACAGAAGAATGAATGAATGAATAAATGAAATTATGATAGTCCATGTCTATAGGACATGGCTTCCAAATGGACAAGAAGACCAGTCAATCATCCGTCCATCCATCCCACCAGTGCTGATGACATGGTGATAAATCCTTACTCCCTAGCTTTTCCAGACTCTTCAAGGACAATCACTCTTCTACAAGTAGTTATTTGTCCTGTACCCTTCTGTTTTGTCTGAATTAACAAATAGTCTTTTCCCTGATTTTATTCACAAAGAAGCCCCTTACTCTCACCACTAAACTATCTTCAAATCACAATACAGCATGAAAAATTTCCGAGACAGTCTTCTAGAAGAAATGTGCTCTCCATAAACTATGATGCCTGTGATCTATATCTCCTGATCTGGCCTCCAGGTGTTTAACCCATCTCAGTTTTGGGTTTGCTCACCTCTGTCCACTGACTGCACTTCCTACACATTCTGAATGGGCTGTTACACCCCCAACTCCAGTTCTTCAGGTTTTTGAGTGGGGTCATGAAGATGGATGGATATCAGTTAAGCAAAGGACATTGGGTAAATATTGAGCATGGGAAAGCCAGGAACTTGAGCTCAATTTTTAGAGGTCAAAAATCATAAAGAAATCCGAAATTCAAGAACTTGATTCCTAGGAAAGTGCAGACATCCAAGGGTTTCATGTTTCCTGTTAGAGCAGGACTGAAGGCCTCAGTATAGATGAGCCTGAGCCTAAAGATGTGGATGCTTATATGGTTTTGCTGAGCTGAGAGAAAGATAAAAAAGGGGCACAACTTCAGACTAGTGAAATGTTGAAGGGGTGGGTTCTTTGGGCCCTGGTATTCCAAAGAAACTAGCCAAACTTGGCAGATTCAAGTTTCAACATTGTTTTTTTCTTTGTATAATCCCTATCTACATTCCAGTTGATTTTTCAACAAGCCCCCTGCGTGTTGCTGAATTTTAAGCTTCATGAGGGCATGTTTAAGCTGAATTTTAAGCTTCATGAGGGCATGTTCACTGCTGTATCCCCAGCACCATCACCTAGAACAGTGGTAATCAACAAGTGTTTGCTGAATCAATAATAGTAGATGTATATATGGGTAGATGGATGTGTGAACAAATCTGTTTCCATCCGTTGTACGGTGCATACTCCTAGTCCCCATGATGATTTATGATTCTCTCTGTGATAGGTCCCTTTGTCCAGCCACCTGCCTCTTGGTAGCTCTGAAGGCCCTTAGTCATTTGGCTCAAAAGCTGTAGCTTTGGAGACTAGCTTCTTATTAACTAAGCCATTGCACCACTTGCTCTTGTAGCCTTAAATTAATTTGAGTTAATTCTTAACTGTTTCCCTTCTGTACATGCGTCATTTAATAGTTTGCCTTTATCTGATTTTCCCCAATTTTTCCTGTGCATTTGTGGTTGTCTACAGAAGCCCTCTAGCCAAGGCCTCGGGCAGCCCTACCAAATGAATATGGGCATCTGAGTTTTCTAGGAGGCCTCTTCTTCTGCCCTGGGTCTCATCCAACTGGTATCCATCTAAACATTCCCACCCAGGGTTATTTATGCTAGAGGAAGAAGAATGCCCTTTCCAGAGCCAGTTCTTGGGGAAAAGAGGAACTGTTGATATAGCCAGAGCCCGAAAAGAAGATTACTCTGCAACAGCTAAAGGTTGGTGACATACTTTTTCTCCAACTTAGTGAAAGCTCTCTATGTTTGCTTTCTTTCCCATGAATTCCATTAGTGTATTTTCTCTCAATGACCCTTGGAACAAACAGATAGGAAAGATTTTAAATCAATAGAATAAGCTTCATGGAGACCAAGAGTTTATCTATTATTGATTCCCCAGCATCTAGCGTAGTACCTGATATGTTGATGCTCAATAAATAATTGATGAAGAAAGAAAAGAAAGACAGGAGGAAAGAATGGCAGAAGAGAAAGAAAAAGGGATTGGAGAGTAGGTATGAATGTAAAAAGTGTTAATGTTATTCAGAAATCATGTGATGATAACAGTCTTGTTTTCAAGGTTAATTGGGTATGTTATCCCTGCTATCTGGAATCAATAAAGCAATTGAAGTTACTTTGTAAAATGAAGAGTGTATTTATAAAGATAAAATAATAGCAGACAAGCAGAATAACAACAAAAAAGGTATTCTTTGAAACTTAGGTGTAAACAGCAGTGATCATATTTTAAGATAAATTCAAAACTCTGTAACATTATCAGCCATTTGTTCTGTGTCTATGCCAGTTCTCAAAAGCGAATTGAAACAGTGAAGAACTTTATTTTGGTGTACAAACAGATGTCTTATGGATAAATGCAAGCTGATCATGATGCTGATAGAATTGATTGCAACTGGTCCATTTGGTATTTAGAAAAGGTCAGCTAATCAGGAATGATGCACTGAGGAAATTTACAAATATCTAACTTTCCTGCCATTGAGCGAAATTAACCACACAGTAATTTAGCAAAGGCTCAAAACTATTTAATTGTGTGTCAAGGAAAAACAGCTCAGTGCAGGGGAAAAAAATTAAGAAAATTAGCGGTTTTTTTAGTATCAGTCTTTCATTTATTTGAAATCATACATTGACACACTTCAGGTCCAGCAAGCCAACTTTAAATGACATACACTGTTCATTGCAAAAGAACCCACCTACAGTGGAGATAGAAGGGGAGTAATTAAATATAGTTTGTACAGAGTCAGGCTGTTAAGACTAAGGGATTCTTTCTTCAGCAACCCAGGTAGCAACATATATTAAAGTTCTCAAGGTTAGGAAAAGTCACTATATTTGTATACTTCCTTAATTTGGGGAAAATAAAATGTAACCTAGGAGAAAATATAAAAACATCTCCAAGGCAAATTCAGAAAACTCTTCCTTTTAACACCAGTTTTGCAAAGACTGCATTAGTGAAGCATAGAGTTTGGTGAGTTGAAGTGTTTGCTAGACTAGTTTAGACTACCATGATTAGCACAACTGTAAAAAAGACACCAACAAACAAACACTGTTGATAATATAAGCAGACGATGGCTGGTGACTAGCAAAAAAATAAATGTACCATCTTAGCTGCTGTGGATTATTCCTAAAATTATAATAAGATGATTAAGGCTTTACCTGTGCAATCAATTTTACTTGTGAAACTGACTAATGAAGGTGTTCAGAGAGTCCCAAACTTCAGCCAGTATAATTTTTGCCCCATCTTTTACCACCTGTGCTGCCATTTAACATGTTTTTTCTTTAATTAAAAAAAAAAAATGTAACAACATTTTTAAAACTCAGTGGATATTGCTATCTAAAATCATCTCGAAGAGGCATTCTTTGGAAAACATGTCAATACCAAAGTAATAACAATAATAATGATAAGTTAAGACTATTTCAAAGTAACTCTATGAGACAGAGACATGATGGTAGAGAAGAAATCAGAATCCTTAGAGCTCATGGGAAAATGTTGAGGTAAATCATATGCTCAGATTACAGTTTGCTCTTTGCAGCTTTATTTAAGAAGCAAGTTAATGTTTACATGACATTGAACTTCAAAGTCCAAGCAATAAGGAGGAAAAGAGAATGAGAGAAAAACAGTTAATGTGCTTTGCCTCCTTGCTCCTCCCAACCCATGGAGAGGCAGCGGGGTTGCAGGGGAGCAGGGTGGGGGACAGGAAACAGCCACGGGAGGGAAACAAAGCAGGGGGATTAAGGTTTTATCTTATCAGAGTGCAATAATGTTTTATTAAATTGTAAAAATTTATTGTGCTAAGATACAAGTACTATGTTTCCTAACTCACATGACAATTATTCTTGTTAGAGTTTCAGTATCTTTAAATAATAATCCTCTTTTCTACAGTCTCGGTGTGAAACTCTGTGCCTTAATTCTCTTTGAAGTGATCCAATCTCTGATCATGTTGTGTTTTTTACAATGATACTCTTGGTTTATAGGAACAAAGTGTTGTTTTTGAAACAAAGTAGGACTTTATTTATCTATAATACAATGAAAATATCTCCTGCATCATTATTCTTTTCAAGTACTTCCTTTCTAATCCTTCCCTCTTGAGGAGGGTGGTGTCACTTATTTCTGACTTTGCAGTTAGGCCAGGCTCACTCGTGGCACCAGCAGAGCAGACAAAGGGTGAGGCTTTGCCAGATGGACCCCTGGACAAGGAGGCATCCTTCTAGGCCTGCTTCGAAGGGGACCTCCATGCCCGAAGGGAAGTCATTTTACTTGCATTTTAAAATCTTGCGATGTAGTTTTTTTGAGGTGTGTGTATTTAGACACATTTAGAAATATTAAGTCTCATAAAAGGTCCCTATAAAGTCAGACTCTATAGTTGACAGGCCGGTGTGTTCTTAAAAGGGTGTCTGAAAGAAAGGAAAAGAAGTTGAAGAGATGTTCTCTTCAAATGAAAAGGCAGGGTGAGATTTAAAAAGCTAACTGCCTCTTTCCTCAAGGAGGTGGGGCATAACTCCATATTCCTTAAGTGTGGGCCACACACAGACTTCCTTCCAAAGAGTACAGCATGGAAAGGAGGAAAAAGGGAAATCTGACAAACACTATCTTAGCCAGGTGATTAAGGTCAACATCAGCAGTGATGATGTTGATGGTCTGTATCTTGATAGGATGTGATGGGAACAGCACCTTACCTCTGTGGTCTTCCTCCCCCAAACCCATGACCCCAGTCCAACCATAAGAAAAATGTCAAAATAAAATGGGAGGAAATTCTATAAATACTTGACCAGCACTTCTCAAAACTATCTGGGTCATCAAGAAAACAAGGAAAGTGTAAGAAACTGTCAAAGCCCAGAGGAGCCTAAGGAGACATGACAACCACATGGAATGTGGTCACCTGGGTGCTTCCTTAGAAGAGAAAAAGGACCCTAGTTGAAAACTAAGGAAATTGAATAAAGCTTGGACTTTAGTTGATAATACTATATCTGTACTGGCCCGTTAGTTATAAGAAATGTACCACAGTAATGTAATACACAAATAATGGAGGAAACTGGGTATTGGGTATATGGGAATTCTTTGTACTATCTTGTCAACTTTTCTCAAAATCTAAAAACTACTGCAAAATAGAAAGTTTATTTTAAAAATATATAAAGCTAATTGCCAGGGAAACTACTGGTTGGAAAACTACTGAGACTTTGTGTCTTCCAATCTTTCCTGAAAACCCTTGAGAAACTTTATAACCACATGCAGAACTAGGTCATGCCTCTGGTGGCTGCTGCACCAAGATTAATGGGGAAAGATTCTAGTTGTATAGTCTAATGCTTGAAGTTCAAGATGGGAAAGCCAGGAGGAAAGGTAAGGTAATTCATCATTTCACATACACATATATTCATCATTCATTTGTTCACACACCGCTGCACAGAAACAGTGACCTCTCTTCCAGTTCATCTTCTCCCCGTCTCCTTCGTGGACTTCTATGTCTATCCATGCTTAAAGGTGGTGTTTCTCATACATGTGCATAATACCCTACATTTTTCTGTCCTCAGCCTCATCTACCACCTACTTGCCAATAAGTCTCAGATCTAGAGATAGATCCACTTGTCTAGAGTCATCCCCATTTGAATATCCCACATGCACAACACATCTGCAGTGGCACTGAGCACCTCCTCAAAACTTGTTGAAGCCACTACTCTTTTCTTAATCTCTCTTTCTGTGAATGATGTCACCATCCCCTCATTTACTCAGATCAGAAACTCAATGTGGACTTCTTGTCGATCCCAGAAAGCCCCTCGGCTACCAAACTGTGCGTACTCTACCTCCTAAATGTTTCCTGGGTCTAGGCCCCTCCCTCCAACCTCAGCACCTTAGCCAGCTTCTTATCATGTCTCATCACAGAGCCCCTACCTAGACTCCTCCAGCCCCCAGGTAACCCCCGCACTACCCACACAGAGCGTCTCTAAAACACAGCCCAACCACACTACTCCTGTGCTAACAACCCTCCGAGGCGCTCTGTCACCCCTGGAATGCAGCTAGGCTTCTCTGCCTGGCACACAAGGCCCTTCTTTCCCCTCATCATTCCCTCCTCATCTGCTTTCACATTCCCAAACTCACCTTCTGCTTCCACCAAACTACTGGGGATTCCCCTTCCCAATTTTTTCCCATGTCCTACTCCTACTTGGTCTTCAAAATTCAACCCAAGCTCTCTTTGGGAGCATTCTCTGAGCCCTCCAGGGCTCCTCCTGAGTGCTGTCATAGGTGCTCCTCCCCTACCTGTCTCCCCATCCCCCAGCCATGCATAGCTCTGCCATTGCTCTCATTCTTTCATTTAATAATTGGCTAGTCTGAATACTACAAATACAACAGCGAACAAGCCACAAAAGACAAAAAACCCCGCCTCTTTGGAGCTTTTACTCTCTGCACACTGGTTTTCCTGTCTTCCCCTTGAAGGTGAGAACCATTCTTTACGTGCTTCTTAAGCACTTAGCATAGTGCCCAGCACATGGCCAGTGCTCAAAAATACAGATAAGTATGTGAAGGAAGGTCCTTGACTGTGTTCCTCCCATCCTTCATGGATGATAATGATAGGAATTAGAGAAATGCCTTCAACATGCTAAGGAAAAATAACTTCAGTACATCACTCCTTCCCTTCCCACATCCTTCTCCCAACTTATTTCCCTCGGAGCAGCACACGTTTAATGATTCGTGACTGTACATCCTCCTTTGAGGGTCTCCA